GCCTTAATGTAAAAACCACAACCGATAGAAGTAAAACCGTAACGCTTCGTAGAAACTATGGCAAGGTTGATTGGAATAACTTCCACAATTACCTAAGAATCACTGATTAGAGGGCTTTCTTTACTTCAAACATTACCGACACATTAACCAATATATTTTATCACAACATCAAAAGTATCATCAACAACATCGCACCTTTAGAATACTGTAGACCTACGCTCTTCAAAGATCTATATATACCGGTCAGTACAAGAAGACGTCTTCGAAGACATTGTACTAGATTCCACAACTTAAATTACTTCTCCTCTTTAGTAACGATGACAGAAATACCTGTCCGAACAGAGGCAATAAGTAAACAAAAAGCATTAGCACAGGAAAAACGTGCAGTTGAACTTAATAATAACTCCTCTGCACTCACCATACTACTCCAAAATAAACTTAAACGCTCTAAATCGAGAGGGAGTATATTCATTAAAGGCAAACAAGTATACGAAGATCCCAAGCTTATCACAGAATTATTCAGTGAACATTTTTGTTTCTCACTAACTAACGAAAAACCATTTAATGATTCAGAACCAATCCCAGTAACTCCCTGTGGAATTACTAATGTAGAATTCAGTGTACAAAATATCTCCAAGGCAATCAGTACATTGAAACACTCCTACACTGATGGACCAGATGGTATTCCATCTAGCATGCTAAAACGTGAAGGTGATGATATGTGTGTTTTGCTTCTCAAACTATTCGCGATATCACTCTCTTCAGCGCGTTACCCTACTGCCTGTAAAACTACACACATCACTCCCAAAATTGAAACAGGACCTGAGGCAAACGTTGAAAATTACCGGCCTATAAACATAACTTCAGTGGTATCCAGAGTGATGGAAAAAGTAGTTTAGGCGGCTGTAGTCCAACATCTACTTACTAACAATCTCATCTCGACCTCCCAGCATAGATTTCTTAGGTCCAGATCATGCGATACATGCCTAGTAGGCTACTTGAATGATATAACCCTGAAACGCGACAGCGGACTCCTTGTATCAGTCCTATTCTTAGACTTTAAGAAAGCCTTTGATAAGGTCCCACACAAAAGGCTACTCATCAAACATAAGTCCTTCGGAATAAACAACCCACTGTACTCATGGTTTGCTTCGTTCTTAACAGAACGTAAACAGATGGTAAAGTACAACGACTGTCTCTCGTCACCTAAACCAATCACCAGTGGAGTTATCTAGGGAAGCGTATTAGGTCCACTTTTGTTTCTTGTGTATATAAACGACATATATAACACCATAGAATTTGGGAAACCGTACTTATATGCTGATGATCTCAAAATAGTATAAAGCTATAAGCCTGAGACACTAAGCGAAAGTGTATCCCAGATCCAAAAGGACCTCAATAGCTTAACTATCTGGAGTGGAAAATGGCAATTACCATTTAACCTCAACAAGTACGGGGTCATGCACTTTGAAAGCATGCCTATAAACCGCAACTTCACTTAAATAAAAGTAGAGTCCAAACACTCGAATCAGTACATGATTTAGGAATTAATTACACAGGAAGTCTGAACTTTGAAGAACATGACTCCTCTATTATTTCTAAATCTAGACGGCTAATTGGTTTTATAATGAAAAACCTTTTCACGACAGAGGGTAAACTTACTCTCTACATAATATGTGTACGACCCTCCCTTGAATATTGCTCTTTTGTCTTCTCTAATATGAATATCGCAGACAAGATAAGAGTAGAAGATGTTCAAAGACGTTTCACACGTCAACTACTAGGATGTAACTCGAATCTCGATTACACAGACAGATGTAAGCATCTCTCTTTAGAACCTTTATGGCACCGTAGGCAAAAGAACAACTTAATATTTCTCTACAAAGCGATATATGGGGCCTCCTTTCTAACCTCTTGCCCGACTATGACCCACGACCCAACCTATAGACTTAGAAACAACGCATATACACTACTTACCGTAAAACACCAAAAACAAATGCGTTGTAAGTTTTTTGCTGTACGGTATAGTTTATTGTAGAACAAGCTGCCAGTGCATATCCGTAACTGTGACACTTTTACCACATTCAAAAGGTTAATAACACTGTTACTAGATTCTAAAGAACTTCAACATTTCCTTGAACTTCCGCCCACCGATGAGGCACTTTATTACGGACCGCTTAGTATCTAGACATAACAAGAATATAACGAGCGCGACTGTTATTAATATGAATATAACCAAATCACAGAATATAAGGTTTATCCTTTTCCTATTATTCATTGTTTATTAATCATGGCCTTATGATCCTAACCCTCACTTTCAGTTCCCAAATCTCTCTACAGGCTAAATGTACGTTATTCTTCCTAAAAGTCATGCCTTTTTTTCTATTGCAAGTAGACAGATAACTCATTATTCTTATGGATGCTGATCTACTAAGGCCGATCATTCAAAGCTCAAAATTTGGCCACAAAGTCTTGTGAGTTTCTCAATGTTTTATTTTTCTCACCCTAAAATCTTTTTCTTTTTTTTCTACAATTTTATACCCTCTCATATCTTTTGATTTACTATTAATCCTTACTTCTTTAAACCATTAGTTATTTTCATAGCAGTGTGATATACTATATAGACATCTAACCCATAAAACAGAATTTTTAAATATCTGATTTGCTTGTAACATGGACCTAGTAGAGACAGTGTATTCCAACTATGTGCTTTGATTAAAGCATTAATCATACTTACCACAAACGTAAGAGAGCCTAACATCACAAAAGGAGGGAGGGTGGCGTTACTGACCAGCAAACATGATGGTGGGGAGATAACTTCAATCCACCCATGTCTGTAGGGCAGAACGTTTTGTTTAATTACGGCTCCTTATGGTTTAGTGGCATGTCACGAACTTAAGATATTAATGTTGATTTATCATGCAAAATACCTCTTTAAATTGTGGTACGAACGTTGAATTGGTTTCACTTCCTACCCAGTAATCCTATTACAAGCAAACTAGGCAATTCGCTAATATACGAAGACTACTCAAGATTCTATGATACCTAAAAAAGTAACAATAATACAAAAAATGAAAAGGGCTCCAATAGCTTCAATAAAAAAGGAGACAGCCAATTGTATATCACAATACTGTTTTTAGCACTATAGTTTAAAACCACACATAATCCCATACCCTCAGCTCCTTTCTGAATCGCCTCCATTTGTCAGTTGTATGTAGCTTATCAGTTGTAGCTTGTCGGGAGCTAGTCGGCGTGCTTTAGAGAATACAGGTGGTCCTGTAGTCGTGATATGATGTGTAACGTTGCTGGTTACACACGGTAGTTTCGGTTGCGTTTGTTGTATCCCAGGATACTTATCGAGAAGTGGCTGATGGAGTGGGTCTATCATATGTTTAATTGTGACTGGGGATAATTTGCAACCAGTAAAAGAAGTTGCGCAAACGGATAAATTAGTGTTTCCGTCTACTACGAAAATTACGAAAATTAAGATAACGAGTACGTGTATGACAGAACTCTGTTATGTCATTCTGGGACATTTGAGGCCTTACTTTGCCTGAAGAACCTCGGTATCAGGAGATTTTGTGATTTCTAAAATGCGATCGGCAGATGCAGCCAGCTCGTCTAAAGCGTTGTTGTGGAACGAGACAAGCACAGCTTGCACCTGTTAAGGAAGCTTCGACAAGAAAAGTTGGTTAAATAGACCATCATCGAAAGTTCTTTGGCCGATAACCTCTCTCATTCGTTGCAAAATTTCCGTCGCAGAACCGTGTTGCAGATCGATGTTATTGAGGAGTTGGTCTAACCTGTCTATCGGTTAGGCCTCCGGGTTTAGGAAGAGAACGTTCCAGCGTTTCGTAAGTTTCACCATCACTAGTAAACATACTAGGTGTTACGTACCTGTTGAATTCGCGCGGTAGTGCCTTGACTACTGCGAGTAATTGTGCACGTGTGTCGATCACGCCGTGCTCGGAGAAGTCGGCTTCCGCGTAGCAAAACCAGACTTCTACGTTGTCTGGCCAGAAGGGCATCAGTTGAAACAAAGGTGGGGACAAAGTCTTAAGCTTAAGTACTTTGGGGGTCTGTTCAGTCATGATGAAATATGAAGTACGATAATGAACGAGGGATATATATATATATACAAAAAGCACGAAAAAATATCACAATGTATAAAAAATTAAGATAAGGTAATGATATATAGAATTCCGAAAAGGAACAGACTCATAGTTTACGATTTGGTGTACCATATCACATCGGGCTCACCAATGAAGATGACACAGATATTCAGTGTTTGACAACGCTTTAGCCAATAACACTTAATATAACTTGTACCCACCAAGAGAAGTCAAAAGACAGAGTCGAGGAGATTGGAAGACATATTTGATGACTATCAATATATCGGGATTGTCTGATCTAATCTTTCTAGCGATTGCAGTAGATGTTGAGCACGGCGTTCCCACTAGTGATCTGGTGCGGATGCACGACCGAGCGCCTTCAGCTAGGTGGGTCCACTAAAACATTTGGGCAGCATCCAATGTCGAAAACTTACAGAGCTATTTATTTTGGGGATTTATTTACCGCTACAAGACTACAGGATGGCCTGACTCTAGATTTCCAATCATCCCATGTAATCCTTGAAGGCTTCAGAATTTAGATGTACATCCAACTATCCAACCAAAGACACTATCGCAAGACCAATGTTATGATGAGAAGTATTCGAATTGATTTGCTAACTAAGAATTCCCAGGATAGCTCAATTTAAGGCAGTTAAAAATTAGAAGTAAATATGTCAATATTTCTAAACTGGATAATGAACATGTTGAAAGAAAGGGAGAAGTGTTAACGATAAGCAGGTGTACATTCAAGAAAATTTCGTCGTTTGAACTACGAATTGGATGAGTGAATTTCCATGTTGTGAGGAAAAAAATTAAATTTGCCGGTTAATGCTGAATGACTTATTTCCGTAGTCAACGCACCAATAGGGTAGCTTTCGTTCGACCTACAAGTGCGTAACCATATCCATGGGCATGAGATAGTATTGTCATATGCCTGCTCAGAGTTAATTTACCTGTCGATGTTGTTGTTAAGCGTATCAATATATTCTTCAAGTTTAATCCCATTTTATTGTTGTGATTATTGAAGGTAAGTTATGGCTGCAGCATCATCAAAGATGACTCGTTAGGTAATTGTGTTACGTTAGATAATTGTTCATCGCATTTGCTAACGGATCTTATTATTGGCAGTTGTACTTACCATAAATTTCGTTCTTTGGATATGTGTGCACTTATCAATTGCCAAAGAGCATCTTCTAAAAAATCCAAAGCTAAAATATTCAATTATTTCTGCAAGGAATTATCGGATGTACTTGAATGTGATCCTGATACCATTGAGAGGACAGATGTCACTTTTGTTGTTGGTCAGAATGTTTATCATGGAAACCAAAAAACAATATCCATATTGAGTGAGGAGCTGAAAAAATGCTTTCAGTCAGAAAGCGAAGACTTCGATCACAGCTCTACACATGGTTGCATACTGAAAGTAACTAGATCAAAGTCTTCGTCTTCACTCAAGGTGTTTATTGATGCATCTGCGGACATTTTTGAAGCGGTATTAAATTATATGCTTACTTTAAAGTAAGTTTTGTTTATAGGAATCAGGTTTTTCGAATATTCGTTGTTTACTTGTAGCAACTGTTTTACTTCACTTGACTTGTAATAAATGTATTATTAATACTAGGAGTTTGTAGCGTATTTATCGTTTGCATGGAATGATGTTTTTTTACGATTATTCATTTTAAAGGTTTGATATGTAAATTAGTTATGAACAAATCTACCCTCACGTTCTTCATTTCAGAGAACTACTTAAACTCAAATCCTGAACACGTTCAGCATTCTTTGAAATTTTCGGAATTTTGAATGTATTTTGCCTAGTGTTTCGCCACGCACAAAGGTTTAGCACATTTATGTAACATTAAAATAGTTAAGAAATTTGGTTTTATTTCATCCCTTATATGTTGTATATTAGTGAACAACGGGAAGTTTGTGAATTTTCTGTTATTATCCACAGCAGCACGTTTCTGCAGTTTAAAGTATCCAATTTCCCTAAGTGATGGTATTTAGATGATTTAACCGAACTTTTGTTAAGATGAGAACAAGAACATCTAAACCACATTCTTGCGCATACACTAATTAATGAACGTTGCCTATTAGCGAAAGCGATTAGACTATCGAGTTTCCCGAATTTTAAAAGTCGTCGGAGAGGTTACGCTTCGTGATCTGGTGCTAAAAATATCAGGTACGTTAGCTAGGGAGTACTGGTTTTTTAGCAATTAGGTACCAAATAAAACCTTTTACTCATAAAATGCACTTTTCGTACTCTATAGCAGTACACTGTATGTAGTACGTTTTTTCATGTCACCGATAAAATTTTTTGTAGGATTCTCATATTCCCATGCTCCTTTCTGTACCACTAAATCCTATGGTCAAAATAGTGAGTGGATTATTTAAACCTTATGTTTTAAATATTATCCTATAGTAATGCTTTTTTTCGTTCAGGTATTTATTGTGCTGTGAAAGGATTAATTGTTTGAACCATTACAGTAATAGGACCTAGACTGATGCTGATTCATTCACATCCCATTAGAAATTTAGTAAATCCATATTTCAAGGTAGCTTCTTTTAGCAAATACTCATATTTCTATATTATTCAACAAAGCACATTTTTAGTAAGTAGGTTTCAATATACTACACCTTTTTTATTAGACAGTGATTCGGTTTATCCCGACAATGTGGTAAAGTACTTAGTTTCATATGTAGTAACCATATCAACTAGTGGTAGTTAGTACTTTCTGGTCTATCAACATTGATTTATCTACTCCGTCTGTCATCGTAGCTTCCTAATTAAAAACTTTTCCACTTATACCAGGCTTACTGTGCCCGAAGACCTAATACCACACGTTTACTATCTGTCAAAATGTCTACAGATCAAAACTTTGGAGACAACGTGCATCGAGTTTTTAATTCACAATTTATCAATCAACAGTGTTGGGGGTAAGATTTTAAAAAAAATCACGAGTTGCTGAAGTTTTTTTTAACTAATATTCTTTAAAAATGTTAGATTTTCTTGTTCAGCTCTACTTTAATTCCAGATCCGTTTCATTTATTATACTCTGGATATAATTGACTTCTTGTGGTTAGGCAATATTACAATGGTTATTTAAGAGAATCCATGACTTTATATACTATTTACAGTTTAAATTTATATAAACTTAATATTGTGTTGAAAGATGTTTTTCATAGTGTTGGTTCTAGTTGTCATTTACACAACGTAGGATCTGGCATAAATTGTCAATTTCTCAATACTCGAAACTTCACATCAATATAAAGCGAAAAAGTTGATAAGATAAAAAGTGGACAAATCGAAATAGTAGTAATATAAATGGTAATGCATGTCTGAACATACAGAATATTGTTCCCTAAGAACAAGTGAGATTGGGTAATAAAATATACAATGATATGAAAAATCAAGATTTGGAAGAAAAAACAAAATGAAAACATCTGTGACAGTTGTAAACCTTATCAACTAAGGTTTCCAGTTAAAGGTCATAATTGTCTGCAGAACTCCATTGAAAACTTCTGAACCTTCCAACTTCGCTCTGAACAACAACCAGTGACTTTATCTCTTGATTTTGATTGGGACTCATACAGACATAAGATGATATTCTATGTAAACATTACCCTGAACATCACTATAAAATGAGGAACTGGTAAAAAACAATCCCAGCTATCAGCAGTCGAATGAAGCCAGCACATGTGGGATTTTAGAATTTTGTGTAACTAAATATGATGAAAAAGTAAATATGTTGATGAATTATTAACTTATTATGACATGGGCTCAAAATATGTGGAGTCTCATTGTTTATTCGGTGCACCAAAACGATTAGTACTCCCGTACAATACATGCTATTTCACCAGTATAATATTCCACACTAGTTTTCAGCATTCGGGTTGTCGTCTTTGTAGATTCTTCGCAGCATGTGTATTTTCTTTTAGTGAAGTTCTATTACTTAATTTTTCTGTTATTAACTATAATAAAACGCATCTAGGTATATGCCACCATGGACATGCCTACCAGATCTTCAAAATTATTAAAAAACATACTCGGAGTTTGCTAGGTCAACCTCATGTCGTTTTTCCTCTTGTTTTACAGAGTAGAAGAAAGTTTTTATTTGAGGACTTGACGTAAATCACCAGAAAACTTTCCAAATGTTGGCATTTAAGTAGTGGCTATTAATATAATCTCAACACCTTAAGCACTCTGTTTTAAAGACTGATTTGTCAAATCAGATTTTTACAACTATTGACAACATGAAATAAGTCACTTAAGTCGTTTTTTGTTTGTGCATGCATTGAATAGCAATTGAACAACAAAATATGTCACTTATATATTTAGGCATCACTGTAATCGAGGAATAACATATTGGCGATTATCATGTCCTGCATAATGTAGTTACATAATGTGTGGAAAGTTCGCACACCATTCTGTGAGCTACCGAAATCTCAATTGTTCTCTCTATTTTAGCGGTAGCTTACTGTTAAGGCATTCGACTTTCACCCACTAGGCTACAGGTTCGAGCTCCCCTTCACCTACTTCGGTCTAGGCAACTGGTTAGTATCATTAGCCCTCGCACTTAATGTGTGGCTCATACCCAAGTACCTAGTGGATGAGTCAACTTACTATTGGCAAATCAGTAGACGCATTTAGTCAACGACGGGTATTTAATTTATCTGTACGCTATTACAAAACGAGTTCATCAGTGTGTCATATGTGGAACACAAAGTACCTACTTTGTCCAGAAAGGAGCTCATGGGGATTTCAAAAGTTTTGCAATAACTCTTCTGAAATCAGCATAAGAACATACGAATCTGAAGTAAACCTCTTAAGAGTATCTGATTAACATAGCTTGTTTTTAATATTGCGTCTTACATCCTACTGTTTCTTGTACAGTTCTGTGTAGCTTTATTCAGTTCAGTGGGGTTTATCAAAATAGTAATGAATTTGCTACAAGTCTCACATCTTATTCGCCAGAAATGTGCCTAACAAAAACATTACACCACTACTTGTTAACGGAAGCAGATGCCATCGCTTGTTCTCAAACAGGAATTCTTAGTGCTCGTTTGATAGTAAACCTTACAGGCAATTTCGATTCATCAGATGATCAAAATGGAATTCAAGAACCTTCCAACGAATATTTAGCCGTTGGAGTTTTGCGATGGGCATTTGAAAAGTTATTAACAGGCGAAAGACTGGCAAGGGCGGGAAGTGAAGATAATGTTTGTTCGGACGATGAAGAAAGTGACGGGAATGGCAGCAGTCATGCTGTTGGGAACTCTAATGGATCACAGCGTAAACGAGCAGGTAGTCAATTTCAGTTTTTGGCTCAAAAAAATTTGCTAAATGGAATTCGTTCAAAATGTGGTACATCAGCTCAGTATAGCCTCGCTTCAGATGACAATGATGATAGCGATGATTTAAATTCAGAAACTAAAGCCGAGGAACGTGGCTCAGTTTCAGACACTCTGAATTCACTACGATATTATAGTACACAAGATATACGAGTAAGTCTTGTGAAATACCTTATCTTTTAAGGTATTGTATATCCCACATTTATTTTCCTACATAATCGTAAAATGTCAATGACCTTTTTCCCAAATATCCCACTGTTGCTCAAGTATTCACCTAAATACCTTCTATGGTGTGGTAGGGCAATTTGTAAAATATGGTTGCTATAAATAAAATTTTAAATGAGACTGGATATAGTTAACTGAGATGAATTTTCAGCATTGCTTATGTGTGCTACGACTTTTCCGGGAACAACATTTGCTTTAGCAGTAGGGTTCTGATTGTGAGAAATAAGTCAGTTGAAACCACTTGTCTAGTGAACTTGTATATATGGTTAGGTCATATGTTAAATATGCCCAATGGTTGTATGGTAGACGCCACAGAATAGTCATTTCATGACACGAGACCATTACTTGATGTTGTATATTAGTGTTAGTTTGAGCTAAGTTCCAGAGTAGAGGCTTTCTGTCAGCGTAAGTTAGATTAGCGTTGGATTGGATGTTAAGATGTGTTAGTTCGGACTAGAGATAATCTACATGCATGTTATTCTCTTCAGCTGGACTTTTGTATTTTATCATTTGCCTTTACACAGTGTATGTGCTAGAGGATTTATGTTTAATTGGTGAGGTTCATTTATTTTCATTTCAATACCGATAAAAATCCTTGCCTCTGTGACCATGTGATATACACTCTCTATGGGACACACGATTGTATTGGAATGGTTTTATTACTCGCGATCCAATGATTGTATGACAGTTTTTGTATATTGTTCTGTTAAGCACCTAAGCCCCTATATTGATAGTGAAACATACTATTGTAGCTCCAACCAAGAGTGGCCCTAACATGAAATCAGTTCTCTTAGAATGGTAGGTGATTAACTTATGAAATTCCATTTTCGGTTTTCAGTAACTGTCATAGATATCTATTTCTTTGGACAAGTTTCCGTTTATAGCGAAGCTCGAAATTTTTAGATGATTACAAGCAGTAACTGTTAATTTGGTTTTAAACTTTGCGTAGTAGTTACTTTTGAACACATTTCTAGTTCAAGAAATAATAAATATAAACAAATTATTCATGTTTTTGGTTAGACAGAGTTTACTGATGTTGGTTCCACTCTGTAAGAAAGGGTCAAAATCATCCTGTGACAACCACAGAGGGATTAGTTTAACTAATATAGTCACTAAAATACTAGCCTCGATAATTATCAGACGCCTAACTAAGACTCGTGAACTGCAAACACGAGAGACTCAAGCTGGCTTCAGACCTGGTCGTGGCTGCATCAATCACATATTCACCATTCGTCAGGCTTTAGAACATAGGCATACTTATCGACGTCCGACAATGGTGGTCTTTCTCGACTTAAAAGCAGCATTTGACTCCGTGGACAGCGAGATTCTGTGGTAGTGTCTGTCATTGAAAGGCGTACCTCAGAAGTACATAGACCTTGTGAAGGCTCTTTACTCGAACACTACCAGTCGAGTCAGGGCTTATGGCTAACTGTCATCTGCTTTTGCAACCTCAAGTGGTGTCCGTCAAGGCTGTCCATTATCTCCATTTTCGTTTAACTTCATCATAGACCTACTGATGGAAATAACATTCTCGTCGACTGAATTCTCGGGTATTGACCTCCTTCCAGGAGGTTCACTTATCGACTTAGAATACGCAGATGACATAGTCCTGTTTGGTGAAGACGCTGATAAAATGCAGAGTCTTTTGGTAGCACTGAGCAACAATGCCAGAATATTTGTAATGCGCTTCTCTCCCTCTAAATGCAAGTTGTTGCTTCAGGACTGGTCTGCGTCAACACCTGAACTAATGATAGGGAGTGAAGTAGTCGAACGCGTTGACAACTTCACTTATCTTGGAAGTCTGATCAGCCCTAATGGGTTGGTGTCTGACGAAATCTCAGCATGGATTCGAAAAGCTCGTTTGTCTTTTGCCAACTTACGTCACCTATGGCGAAGGCGAGATATCCGTCTATCAATAAAAGGACGAGTATACTGCGCGGCAGTCCGTTCTGTTTTAATTTACGGCAGCGAAACGTGGCCATTAAGAGTAGAAGATACTCGTAAGCTACTAGTATTTCACCACAAATGCCTTAGAAATATTGCTCGCATCTGCTGGGATCACCGGGTAAGTAATAGTGAGATTAAACGTAGGGTATTAGGGAATGATGATAAGTCAGTCGATGAGGTTGTGAATCTTCGTCGACTGAAATGGTTGGGCCACGTGTTACGTATGCCTGAACACCGATTACCACGACGTGCAATGATAACCGGTGTTCGGGATGGTTGGAAGAAAGTTAGAGGCGGCCAAACCAAAACGTGGCATCAGTGCTTAAAGTCACTAACTTGTAGTCTGAGCCATGTTAGTAGATGCAGACTACTCGGTAATCATTTGTTAGAGACTCTTGGTGACGTGGCTCAGAATCGATCACAATGGCGTCGGTGTATGCACTTTCTGTCTTCCCTTAAACTAAGAGATTGAAATTGATTCATATCTTTCTTTCTACGAACTAATTCTTTCTTCCTGTACTATACCTTATTGCAATCTTTCTTTTATATATTACCACCTCTGAATTAACTACTTTTATGAATCCGGTATCCATCTTGTTGTGTTAATGAGGTATGGCAACTTGGACCGATGAAAAAATGTGCCTGGTCCTACGTTGTAGCTGAATGACTGACTGACACCAGAAAACATTGCACGTCGGGGCAGTCGGTGGTTGGACATACGTAACACGTGTCCCAGCCATCTCAACTGATGAAGTTTCACTACTTCATCAATTGATTTGCCATCCTTACCTAGTACTCGTTTCCTAACAACTGTGTTACTTACTCGATGGTCCCATGATATACGAGCAATGTTTCGAAGACACCTATGATCGAATACTAGTAACCTACGAATATCCTCTACTCTTACCGGCCATGTTTCACTGCCATAAAGTAGGACGGAACGAACTGCTGCGCAGTAAACGCATCTCTTGGTTGATAGACGGATATCTCGCCTACTCCATAAATGACGCAAGTTGGCAAAAGCTAGTCGAGCCTTCTGTATCCATGCTGAGATTTCGTCACACACCAGACCACAAGGGCTGATGAGACTTCGAAGATAAGTGAAGCGGTCGACACGCCCGACTACTTCACTCCCTATCATTAGTTCAGGTGCCGACGCAACTCAATCCTGAAGCAACACTTTACATTTCGAGGGGGAGAATCGCATCCCAAACATACTTGCATCGTTGCTTAGAGTGGTCAGAAGACTTTGCATTTTGTCAGCATCTTCACCAAATAGAACTATGTCATCAGCATATTCCAAGTCAACAAGTGAATCTCCTGGTAGAAGTTCAACCCCTGGAAATCTAGATGAGGAAACTGTCATCTGTAAAAGCACATCGACAACAAAGTCAAACAAGAATGGAGAGAGTGGGTAACCCTGACGAACATCACTTGAGGTAATCAATTCTGATGACAGTTCGCCATAAGCTCTCACTCGACCAGTTGTGTTCGAGTAGAGAGCCTTTACAAGGTTAATGTACTTAATGGTACTCCTTTCAGTGACAAACACTGCCATGGAACCTCACGATCAACAGAGTCGAATTCTGCCGTAAGGTCGAGAAATACTACGATTGTGGAGCGTCTGAACGTGTGTCTGTGTTCTAGAATCTGACGTAGTGTGAATATCTGATCTATACAACCACGTCCAAGTCGAAAACCGGCCTTATTTTCTCTAGTATGCTCTTCACGAGCTTTGGTTAGACGTCAAAGTATTATTGAAGCTAATATTTTAGACCACTATATTAGTCAAACTGATTCCTCTGTGATTGTCACAAGAGGACTTTTATTCCTTTCTTATAGACTGGCACAATCAGTGATTGAGACCAGTCAGATGGGATTGCGTCCAGTTCTCAAATTCTACCTAAGACCTCAGTTAATCTCACTGCTAATACTGGACCACCATCCTTAAAAATCTCAGGAGTGAACCTGTCAGGGCCTGCTGCTCTCACTTGCTTCCGATTTCCTATAGCTTTTTCAACTTCGTAGAGTCGGAGGACCTACATTAACTTGCCATTCAGGTTGACTGGAGATCATGGGAAACCGAAGTGTGACTGAAGGCCAGTTGAACTGATCCCTGAAGTGTTCTGCCCATCGATCCGATCTCCTGGATTGAGAATGAACGATGTATCCATCTTTTCCGAGATATTTTCCTAAACAGTTGGGTTCCTAATACCGGTTTCCTTAACGAGTCTGAACAATTGTCTGCTATTACCTATTGCCGCTGCGTTTTCCATCTCTCTTGCTTTCGCTGCCCACCACTGTTCACGATCATTTCGTAGGCTTCTTGTCAGCTTGCGCTTAAGCTAACTTCGCTCTTCGTTATGTTCAGATCCAGATGGAATGAGTTTTCGCGCATCTATCAGTGCGGTAGATGCTGCTGAGATCCAGTGTTGCTCCCTAACCTTGTGGTATACCGTAATAGCAGATATCATTGCTGTTTCCACAGATTTTCGGATATCATTCCATGCTGCCTCGGAGTGGGCATCACCTACATGGCTGCCTAACTGTTTTCCTAGTTCCTGAAATATACTCCTAGCTTGACTATCATTAAATAGGACCCTAAGAGGTTTCCTTGCAGCGTCTTTCTTACGTCCAGTAAGACGCAGGCAAGGATCATACTTAGTTTTTGTCTGTTTGATAGGTTTAATGGGGTGACAAATGAAATGACTTACTATCCAACAACCAAACGATGATTAAATTCATCTCAGTGGTTACATCTCTAATTAGAACATTAAGGATTACGACTTTCTGAGAAACATAAGGAACGTTAAATAACTAGTGCAACTTTTTGCTGAATGCAAACTAAACAAAAGATTTTAAATTTGGGCACCCAGTCGTTTACTTACAAATATACAAGGTAAATACGCTAAACAGTTTCGTCTCTATATTTAATTCAGTAGTCAATATAATTCCTCGTCCTTAGTATGTGACCAAGCTCTAAAAGTCAGTCATGATAAATAATGATCATTTATTTCACCGATTCGTTCCTCTGTTTTCGCATTCTCTAGTATTCCTTTCAGAATGATAGATTTGGTTTAGTTCCTTTTGAATCCGTGAAATCCCATATGGTTTGTGACTATAATTGAAATGGTTCAAACCGATCACAGAGTCCCAAATGCATTTTTTTTATCATCTTCCTCCAAATCTCGAACCAGTATTATCGCTCGTACTTCTCATTTTCTTATTTAATTAGTCTCTTTTGGACTGTGTTTAGTTAACTGTTCTGTTGTATCTTGAATAAGCACTTCATTCGTTTGTTCTTGTAGTGACTGGTTCTGGGTCCTGGTTGAATCTATTCCATTGGTATCCTAATTCGTTGGGCTTACTTGGTTTACTGTTGATGGGTTTGGTGTTGCACGGTAGATTAATAAGAATTTTTGGATTACATCCTCCACCTCTCTTTCTCCCTCGGCTTTAGGTAGTTTTTTTAATGTCGACAAATCTCTTAAATTGTCAGTTTGACTGTGGATGATAGGAAATGTCTTGATATTTTTAACGGCATTGTCAATACAAAATTTTAAAGATTCCGAAGTAGACTAAGTTCCATTATCAGATACTAATACTTCTGAAGACTCGAAACAGGTGAATACTTGTTGTAACTTGTCCACAGTAGCTTTAGCTGATGTAGACTTCATGCAACGAACTTCTGAACATTTAGAAAAGGCGCCAACAGTTGGGATAAACTATTTTCCATTTATAGTACTAGGAGAATCCATGTGCACCGTAGACCGTGAGTATGTCAGTGTTCCCTAACTGCATATTTGTGTCTTCCTAGGGGATTTAGCTGCGTTTTCACTTGCGCAACACTTTTCAACATATTCAATTTGAAACCAGGACCCAGAACCAACCACTACAAGAACAAGTGAGTGGAATACCAATTCAATGAGTGACATGGTACATTGTATAAACATTAAGCAACTAAATTATGTTTATGTATTACGTTTATCATAAGCTTTTGGCTAACCCATAAACTATTATCATTCGATTTACTATTCTTAATATCTGACCAGTCTATTACTCACAGTTTTCCATATTCACAGCCACTTTTGTATAATTATGTTCTTTATTTCACGATGTGGTGTGTTGCGTTATGTCTGTATATAAACCATGTCTGTTTGAAGCACAAATGTAGTAGAGGCTTGTTACTGACTTTCGGACTTAAAGGCAGGGCATAGAGAGAAGCTTGCAAATAGTGGTCCAATGAGAACTTGGCTGCTGAGTCAAGATTAATGTTGCTGGTCGAACGTGTAATTGTCCAAGTCAGAGAAATTAAGCGATCGTAAATGGTAGACGCGAAATAGATCAAAGTGGAATCAATTCTGATTAGTGGCTTGTCACATAATTCTAGTCAGCAGACATTGGAATCAACATGTATCCTGTTTATTATCTCTCCAACTCTTTTGGTTTCCATGTCTTTAATGTCTCCTCCTTAAAGCAGTGTAGAGTATGATACGTTAGCCGATATACGTCTACTCCATATCGTTAGTGTTAGTGATTGACAGGTTGACTGGATTAATTTAGTTCAATTTAGTAAAGCCACTGCCCCCAAATGCCTTGGTACGACCGAGAGTGGGAAGAGTCAGCTCTCCCTCTCGAAATGTTCTCACATGGCCACGTGCATACAACAACTGCCGGGGAAGTCCTACTCACTGCCTTCTCGCGGCGTTACTGTTGTTTAAGAAATTGAGAGGACGAAAAGCGAGTGTCCGGCGCTTTAACCGGATTGGTGGACACGGAGAGTTCATCTAGGGGAGTTGACAAACCCTGCTTCCAAACTGATGGTGCACATGGGCTTCAGTATCCTAAAGGAAATAATGGCATATGAACCAATCGTTGGTGACCGGCTACCATGGGACTGCATCTGTTTACGTTGCCCCACTGCCTTTTGGATTAGACCTCTCGGTTAAAGGCTCCGGGTGTGATCCCTAAGAAAACCACATGGTTCGGTTTCAGCACCCGGGCTGTAATCCAGCCCTCAAAAAGTTGAATGATTTATCTCGCGCATGTGTATTTGGTGCCTCCTTGTACCAATGTTTATGTGTTTAATTAAATAAATAGTAAAGTCACTCCAACTTGGTAACCATCTTTCGCTTTTTGTTAATTGATGGAGATGACCATTAGTGTGTGCTTATGAGAGTTAGATTTTTTAAATAACATTAACATCAGTTTCTTTCTTCTCTGTAAGCTTATATTATTTACAAACGACATATAGATGACGAATTTCGAATTGACGTGTCTCTTTTTTCTATATTTATCAGATTTCGGTCGATATAAATGATTTACCTTTGAGTAAAGACGAAAATGAAATGAGTAACATATCTCAGGTGAGAAGTAAGATTCCTGTTACTTTGATAAAATCGCTATCATTCGATGTATTGATTGAAGTATGGTAGTAGTAGTAGTAGTTCTTTATGGAATAAACTTTGTTAATTAAATTAAATTTCTTTCATAAATACAGGTTATTTCGAAAAGAATTTTCAGTATATTGCATAAGATATTCAATTCGTCGTCAAGTTCACTTATTGTATATTGTAACTTGATTTTGACCAGCTATATTTAATGATGATTTCTAAATCAATCCTCATTTACAATTAATATCTTTCTTTTTCCTGGTGAAAACAATATTATAGCTTTCTCTTAAATTTATTCATTTTGCTGTACATATTTATAGGCACGATTATGTTTGGGTTCGATCATGTTTCTTACAATAAGATCTATGTGGTTGTTAAAATTCGTTAATTGTTTCCTTAAATCCCCATTTAAGAGTAATTCATTTCATTACTTAATTTTCATTATAATGCTACAAATCGACTACCGGTATCATCAACATCTTGGTCAAATCAATGTAGTATGTAGCAATAGAACTTTTTTTTATTTAACATCAACTTTATTTTCTTAAATATTGTGTAAATGTAAACTATGTACATTATCGGATTATTTAGACCATTTATTTGACTTGACTTGAATATATACTTATTGAGAAAGAGATTGATTTGATAAAATGCACACATTTACTATAGTATGTTAGTATCCTATCTTAATTTTCCACTTTTTTTATGTTTTCTTATTTGTCATTACCTTATCTAAGCTCATTTAGCTGAAAAATAATAAAGTAATTTCATTGAAATCACGAACCGATCAAAGTTAGACAGCCATTAAAAACCTAGAGGCACTGGAAGGATGTCTTATCTTAGTGTGGGATCCCTCAGGTTGTCGAACTTTGATCGGTTCGTGATTTCAATGAAATTCAATAATCTCCACAACTCTATACTACTGACAATAAAGTAATTGTTTTTGTCACAATATCAATTGTTATGAAACTTTATCTAGAATGAGAAAGATGAGTGAATTTATAGGTCTAAATGTTTTGCTGAATCAATACATCTGTTAAAATATGTTTTCACTTCATTCCTTTCCTTTTTTTGTCATCGTGATTTTATCAAGACTTTCAATTTCGCTTACTCGTAACTTCCAGGTTTGGAATGATTGTTCATCAGTATCATTTACAAGATAACACTTTTGATAGACTATTTCATATTGTACAAATAAAGCATTAAGTATATTATAACTTAACTCTGATACATGTAATATAGTTGACGTTTGTTTTAAAAATATTTATTTAAACATAAACATTGGTAGAAGGCGGCACTATATATATATTGCTAGCTTCTAAGAATTGAACGTGAAATTCTTCTACTAATTTGTTTTACCAGACACACTGTATATCTGCGTCCTCTATAATCTGCCAATGTATCCTACTTTATAAAAATGTTGCGTAATTCGACTTGAAATCGGACTAAATGGCACAAATTCATTGTCCATCTATGAATCCTAATTTTTTTAATTTTGCTCAGTACATTTTAATTCCCGAACTTATTCGTTATTTTCAAAGCACATATTCTATTTCTGATTCCCTTTCATTGATATTACTTCTATTCGACGTTTTAAAAAAATTCATCTATTTAATTTCATCTCGCTGTGCTAAAGTCGTTTAGGAATTCGGGCTAAAGTACATTTTGGCCTAGTTCTGCGTTGCATATGATAGTGACTGGAAACTTTTTCAACGGTAAAATTGACTAATACAATATGTGAGAGTGACTTTAAGCTAATCCAACTGATAATTTACTCACAAAACCAATCTTTGAATGTTTATCAAATAAACATCATACGATTGATTTACTAGCCAACTAAAGTTATCATTTCTACATGAAATTCTACACTTTATTCTCACTTGTTAATTGTTACCAATCTTGAAGTCTATTTAAAAATTCTGGCCTGTTTTTCATAACTTTACTCGATTGTGTTTAACGAAATGACAGTGATTTCATTGTCTCTTTCACTGAAGATGGAAATCATTATCGTTTCATTTATTGATTTTTTTCCTTAATGATTTGATTTATTTTACATGGTGAATATTATATCCAATTAACTTTTTCAGTTAATGAGACTACTTTTTTTTAATGATTCAATTGTCACTAAAAAAATGATTCATTTCATAAGCAAACAACTGAACCTCAATACTAGTTTATACGTCACTTAGTATATTTTCTGATATTCATGTGATTATTGTAGACTTCATTTTCGATTTTTCTTAGAAACTGTTGCATATCAGCTAAGCTTATGGTTATGAATTAGGTGTATACGTTGAAGGAACATCTGTAGAATATATTAAGCTTTAGGATTGGACAATTTTCGGTCGATATATATATATATATATATATAGTGTATGCCCATCTACTGATTTTTAATGCTTTTATTGGTTTCCATGCTATTAGAGATGATAACACACATGTTTACGTCTATACCATGCATACATGTCCAGATGTACACATGATATCTGTCTACAATTAATAATTGTAGTGTAGTATCAGTTTTTATTCTATGGTAAAGTAACTAAGTAAACTATTTATTATTTTGTAAAAATACACTAGTCTTTCGTTGTTATCGATTCGTATATATTATGTCTTGTAACATTGTTGTTTATCTCGTTATTTTTTATCTTCTGGGAAAGTAAACTACAGACTATGATATTTTGTTGTTGTTGTTGTTGGACATAGAAAACAACTAAATGATTCTGTAGTTAACTGACTGATGATACGAAACACATTTTTGGACTGGAGAAAAAAAATAAAAACACGTCACATGTGCTAAAAAAGCGACGACATTAACTAGTCGATTCACGGTCAAAATGATGTACTCTATTTTGGTTGGTGGTAATGTAGACTTATTTCTTGATGAACTTCATTATTTCTTCGTTGGCATTTTTTCTATGGACCTATTAGTAGAAAATCCAGTTAGTTGTTTGAATTGTAGTATTTATGATTATTATTGAGATCACGATCTGTTCAAGTTAAAAATCTACTAAAAACCAGTTAGCACTGAACAGCTGTTTTGTCCTAGTCACAATGCGCATCCGCGGTCCCACCATTTGAAGTCGAAACTATGACCTTCAGGTCTTGCGGATAGCTCATAACCTTCGGACCACTGGATGTCTGACTTCAATCAATTTGTACGACCATCTTCGATGGTAACTACGTCAGACCTATAGAAGAGTCCCACAGTACAACGAGACGGCTCTATGATTTGGTCACTAAGAGTGGATCAGAGGCCACTTGGACTTTTTTTGTACAAATTTGATATGACAAGTAGACCCAAAGACCAAGTCTTATATTGTGAAAGAAAGGTGTTGAGGGATCCAAGGTATTCTTAAAAAAAGTCCGCTGGGAAACATTTTATCTAATCAGTATTGAATGGAAGTTTCTCAGAAACATCTAACAAGTGAAGTTATATATTGCATTTCTAATTGGATGATTACTCACTGTGCTACTATGTTCAGTACGGTTTCAGAAACCCAAGGCCATCTGAAACTGAAACACTATAAAGAGCCTCGATTTTGCTGTACATAAATTAACCTTCGAGTAAAGCATTCTCACATTTCACGCCTTTTCTCTGGCGTTCGCGTTATCTTGCAGAATTAGCCTGGGTTTATTAAAAGAGCTTAGGAAATCGATTCAAGCATTCAATTGGAAGTTTAATTCCTATATCTGTCCTTATTTCAGTAGTTTTTGCAGTTCAATGGATTTAATCGTTAAGAATTTAGGTATCATCTGGAATTACAGTTGTTTGTTGACTGATAAAATGTTATTGCAAATACAGTAATATCACAATTGACTCTTCATAACATACATCGTCTGTAACTTCGACGAGTTGTCACAAATAACATATTAGAAAAGTAATTATTGTATCATTCTGTGTTACTTTATGACTGTAAACATTTTTCACTATAGCTGAAAATGATAAAGGTAGTGACTGTTTGTCTTGGAACTCTAATCGATATCACGTGATGATTCCACCGGTCAGGATCCCAAGTACACTTTTTCGATTCCACATCCACTGTCTTATCTCTTGCCTAACGTCTTAAACTTCAACAATTATCCGTTCTGATATGCATAGTTTACTACTAAATGTACAGTAAAAATATAAATAATAATCGAAACGTATTTTCGGAAGTTACGACTTTTCTAAAACTCGTTCCGTTTGTTTATTAATGTTTTATTTTCTGTCATTAGCGCTTCATTTATCAATGAGTATATTATTCAGCAAACGAACTCGGTTTGTTAATGAAGTTGTGAATGCTGACTAAATGATCGGATTTATAAGAGAGACGAAGGCGAGACTCTAATTTATGGACGAACCTTGAACGAATCTTAAATGACCTTGACAACTATTAGCTAATCAGAAGACAGTACAAAGTAAAAATATAAGAAACTAATGAATTACAGTGGATATTCTTTTTTTACGTGATTTAAAAACTGATTAAGGTTTGATAAAGGTTCGAATGTTCTGAAATCATAATGCATACGATATAGGAACTCGTCCATATGGCTCCATAATAGTCATCCTCCAGAGCCGTGGTACGGTCTTAAAAATTCCTTCAATCTCGACCACGTGGCTTCAATGTTGTTAGTATGAACTCCAGTAGTAGGGTCGACAAAATGACGTTTATGCACTACGACATGATGGACATACCCAAGTCTATGAAGGCATCTATACGCTCTCCAATCATCCGTATATACCGTAGTGCCCGGCTGCACGTATTCCTGTATAATTGTGCTTGCTTGCCGGTCTCTGACCCTCTGAAAATGCTCCTTTTGCGTTGATCGATCATAAATTCCACGTACCTGTCAAGTATATTTACGGAAGTGCTACTTACCCAATCTTCCTTGATACTACGTCCCCTGTTGTATTTTCGCTTTGTCACTACTGTTTTATCTATTTCCACAATAATTTCTACTTCGAATGATTGGTGTAGACGTGTCATTTTAAGCGCACATGTATCACGAAAATGCTCATACCACTGGACGACTGAAGTTTCAGTAACATCTGCAAACGCCACAGCTAGTGTTACTGGTGCCTTTATTATCCAATTTGCAACTATTATCATGATTTGCCTCAGTCGCGATCGAGCGAGGAAAGTCCCCGTCCGAGCAGAATTTTTCCTCCAACATAAAGAGCAACGAAATACAATCTCATCACGATAGTCTGCACACTGTACTGCAGTCATTTGATAACCGCATTCACAGGTGCAGGAACTTCTTAGTAATCTCATCTCTTGTAGCCGCTCAATAATCATCTCTTCTCTGAAATCCGCTCTAAATCGATCGTATGTGAGCATCAGGTGTTGAACTTGGCTCCGTGACCTTGAAATTCCCCAAACGCTTCTGATTGGCTCGTCCATAAATTAGAGTCTCGCCGAGACGAGATAGTCAGATCAAAACGCATCATTAATTCATTTGATCATTACTTGGTAGTTTATAGTTTACAGGAATATATGTATATTCCCTCTAAGTTAAGTAGTGTAAGAGATTTCAAGTGCTACCTGTAGATCGATTGATCTCCGTAAGGCAAATGCATTCATCTTTGCCTAACTCTTGAATAACTTATTATCCTGTAAATGTTATCTTTTATCTTATGTTTCCCGGTCTTGTTTACTTCTATTCACAATAATAATTTGTTATGTGGTTACTTGGTTCGCTACGCGAATAATAATTGCTTTTACATCTGTTCATTTGAAGGTGAGATATTCAATAATTCACGATTGTTTTTTCTTTTCAATTTTGACAAGAATCTGTATGAAATAGAAAAAAAAGAAATCAATAATTTTTATTTGTTTTATGCATAAATTCGCGCGCAACGCTCACTACTGTTGGAGACTGTTGGGAGAAAGTTAGGGGCGGCCAAACTAAAACATGGCATCTGTCACTGAAGTCATTAACTTCTGGTCTGAGCCTTGTTGGTAGATGTAGACTACTTGGTTGGGATTCGCGTGACTATCGTAATCAATGGTTGGAGATTCTGGGTGACTTGGCCCAGAATCGGTCACAATGGCGTAGGTGCATACACTATTTGTCTCTTAAACCATGAGATTAAAATTACTTTATACCTTTCTGTGAATTAATTCTTTCTTCATGCATTATATCCTTATATACAATGCTTCTTCTATGTATTACTACAATTGAAGTAAACACTTCTGTGAGTTTGGTGATCATCTTGCTGTGCTGATGAGGTGTGGCAACTTGCACGGATGCCTATATGTGCATGGACCTACGTTATAGCTGATTGACTGCATAAGATTTTTTTATTTAGAACATATTGTTTTATTACTCATAAATTACAAATTGAAATTTTGTTTTGTAGAATGCACATAGTTTATTAACTGTTTGTTTAACAACTGGTAATCAAGAATCAGAGACTTGTTTACTGGCACCAACATCTCTTGGAGGTAAGTAAAAATATGAAATGACTTTGATTATATAATATGACTATGTTTATTTTTGTCAGCATTTTCATACTTAATATATTGTAAGTTGTTAGTTTTAATTGCAACCATTGTGGTCAAAGTAATGTTTAAGTTTTTTCTCAGCCTATCGCTGTAATCAGTCATATTTCCCGGTTAAACCGCCGGGAATTCGTTTTTCGACCTCTTAATTTCGTAAACAAACACCCCCGCTGCCGGAAGGCAGTGAGTAGAACTTCCCTGACAGTGGCTGTATATCTGTAGTCACGTGGTCACAGTATAAACCAAATTGTATATTTTTATCCACTGCAACTGATAATTTAACAGATGACAAAAAGTTTATTGTTGTGACCTTATGTCCGGCTTTTTGTCACGTGATTTGTCCACCAATCAAAATACGACTTATACAATCTTCGCATTGTGCCAAACCAATCACGTTCGACCGGTATGGGCAGTCTAGCGTCCTTATTTATCCTATGTCCGCCTAGCCCGTCCACTTGAGTCCAGAATACCAATACCAGCTTCCAATATGCGAATCGAATCGAATAATTTATTTCAGACATACTGGGTTTATATATCAACCAAACAGACCGCAACGCACCATGAAATAGGAAATAACATTTGTACACAATAAAGCCAAAAAGTGACTGTGAACATGGGAGGCAGTAGTCAATAAACTGAACAGCTTAAGAACAGTAAGTCGTACAATTATAAATTATAGGTCGAAATAAAGCTTATAATAAGAGAAATATAAGTGTACATAATCTAACTATTGAATAATTATACCATAAGAATGTATAGATAATATTAGTCAATTAGTATGTCTCAGAAGTTACTCGTGATTCATTCTTCGCTCGGATATAACGTTTATGCTCAACAAAATAATACCACAGTCTATGTAATTACACATGTCTTGAGAATCGCCATAATTTTTCAGAAGTTATCTAGGATCTATCTAGGGATTCATTTTATTATTTGAGAAAAAATTGTAATCGTTCCTTTGTAATCATACTTGTTAACTATTTTTCGATTGTCATTTAATCAGGGAATCGTCAATTGTCTGTAACATTATAATAATACTGCAATACACTTATTAAGTATCCATTTTGTTTTCATCTCCTTACTCAGAATCGCCTAATTTTATTTGTCAGATATAAGAAAGTTTGAGTTCTTGTACTTGGTAGATATGTTTAGTTTTTTTTTTAGAATTTAACCTCAGATCCCGATCGTTCTTACCTATATTGTTAACGTTTTACAGTTAAGTGTTAATAGTTAAACTACCATGATCTGATTTAAAAAAACGAAATAACATTTTCCGGTCCGTTCACAGATAAAGAAGTATTATTATTCTGTCATGTAGTTTAGTAATCTTTCACACCGTTTGGTTTATAACTAATGCCTTATTTTCAAACTTTGAAGTTCTCTCTACGTTTGTCACTAAATGGATCACACCGTATTAAAAACTCGTCTTTCAATAATGATTATTCATGTGATGTAATTTTTTTAATCTGCTAGCGAAATAAATGCCTAAGTAGTGTTACTTAGTAGTTAAAGCATTAAACTAAGTGAGTGACATGTTTAAAGTTTTTTTCTTTGAACTGATTATCATTACAAGCTGTCAGACACTTCTGCTCAAGCTCATTATACTTAGACTACGTTATTGATTATACGTCTGTATAATACTAGTATCCATGGCTAATTTTTCAATCGCGCAAAAAAGATTTTATAGGATAGATTGATTGTGACAAACTTTGAAGTTACTGAGGCCAGTTATTCATTAACGTATATAATAGGTGTAATGTTTTGACCACGGATTAGTAAGAGTTTTACTAATCCTGTCGTTGATATTCATGATTCAAACGGTTTTGTTTCACACTGAAAGTACCATCTTAATTGAAATAATTAACATACTAAACGTCCTACTTATCTTGTGGTGCTGCAATAAATTTTATTTCTAACAGTTGAATTCACGAGTCCATCTAAGATAGACCATCATTGTAAGCCTGAAAGTATTGGACAGCTGTTTCTCCCCAGTATGGGACTCCTCAGCAGTGCGCATCCACGATCCCTCACTCGGGAACTTCACTCTCGCACTTCAACGCTTAACCTCTATACCACTGGACCGGCATTCAGTGGTGTTAATGTCTAACTTCAATCAACCCACGACATTTTGTGGCAATTTTTCTCAGATATTGTATTCAGCAGGAAACCCTTCTTGATTTAGGTCTAAAGCTAGTTGACACTTATCAGTAAGGTGTACTCACAGTTATAAAGGAACTTGGTGATACCTATAGAATTCGAACCTACGTCACCCAGCTTCACAACTTGAGACAATAGCATTCTATTCACTATTGAACACTTTAGAACGGAAATATTTCGTGTATTAGAATATCATTATAAAAATATCAACTAATCACTAATCGGTTATTAATCGACAGACTTCAGTTGACGACTGTGATGAGATTAAATATATTATTATAACCCACATTTGAAAGATCAAGGTTTATTGCATAAAAGGTATTTGCTGGTTTCTCTTATCCATTTATTCACTAATCATATAGGATGAATTATACTATTGTTTCACATTGAGCATCACAGTCATAGAAAAATTATCAACTCACCGAAACCGAATTTGGTGCTTTAGACCCCACGATAATTGGGTTCTTTAATATGTGGTTCTTCATACTACACATATTCGACCACACATGCGATCCTCGATTCCTGTTCATAAACCAGTTTTAAAGTACAGTTTTACTGACTTGTTGCCTGCTCTAATATTTGAGTGGCAGTATTAAGAGTTCAAATATATTGATCAGAAAATCAGCATTACTACCATTCTCTGTCCTTAGGCATAACTAAATAAATAATTAGTTATGAACAGGATCCACATATCTGTCCATCACTGTAATTAATATGTTAACTAAAGTAGTTTTCTAGTAATCGTTTTTTTATTATTCCCTTATCAAATTGTGTTATTGTCACAAAACAGAATGAAATGGTATACTAGTATCATCCAGTGAACCTGATCACTTTTCTAGAAACTTGAATGATTATTATAAATGTATGTTCATACCGCTGTGTTGTTGTTAGGCTGTGTACTTTATCCACTGACCTTGAACTCTACATAATTATTATTTAGTTCAGAAGCTGATAGTTATATAGCGAGCAAATAATATCCTATCAAAGAAAACTATAAATCGTTTCATTTGGTAAATTATAAATTTCATTTCACTTAGTTGTTTCTGTTTTTATTTTCATTTAATAACTTCTGTTCAGCTATTATTTTCTGATTATTATAAGTCATTCCAAGAGCTGTTGGTGTTGATTTCACGATCGAAGATATTGGTTTTATAGAAATTTCCATAGTTCCAGCGTATATGATACGAAAATACGTTATCACTTTTACTACTGCCTATGATTATTTGTGTAAATATTGTTATTTCTATATTTTTCCACAGATGAATTCACTCTTTATTTTGTAACAAAGAACAAAGTATTTAAGAAAGGAACAGTCACTTAAATTTTCAACAATCTTTTAATCTATTTAATTGAACGGTTTCGTATGTGTTTTATGTACTCGATCCTTTAAACCGCAGAACTACAGACTTGTACCCTGTTGCATTTGTTTTGCTCTGAAAGTTCACCAGTAGAATTACTATCTCCTATTTAAAAATATATCTCAAGGATCCCTGATTATAAATCCTTGTTTTATTAGTGTGTTACATCAGGCTCTCCAGATCATATTATTTACGTTCTTAAGTTTTATATTTCATCCAGCCCATTCACTCCGATCGATTGTAACATTCTTTTATTTTCATTGGGATATCCATGACTTGATAATCCTTTTTTTCAAGTTCACTTACGAAAACGAGTTATCACTGCATAATGCTTTTTAGATATTCATTTGTTAACAATATGTTCAAATTCAATCCTATGGAGATCACGAACCGATCTGACTATTGAAAATCTAGAAGCACCGTATAGTTGTTTTTTTTTCTTAGTGTGATGTCTCTCTTCAGTGCACATCCACATCCCCTTCATTGGGGATCGGATCTAGGACCTTCAGTTCTCGAGGTGATCACTTAACCTTTAGACGCCACTGAACCAGTATGCAGTGGTTTGCATGTCTGACCTCCATCAATCCACGATATTACTTGACTATATTCCGTTGAACACGGTGAATACCTTTCACATTCGATACGGATTGAACTCCCCTGGTCACCTCATCTTGAATTGCACCTTAAAGCTAGTCGATGGTAAACAAATGATTATTATTAGTATATTTGGGTTTGTGAAGCTTGTAAAATTGTTGGTAGTCAAATCACTAGCTGATCTTAGCTAGACCATGATTGTAAACCAAGGAGCACTCGTAAACTGTTTTGGTCCATTATGGGATTCCTCAATAGTGTGTGGGGATGTTTTATCTTTAAGACACTGAGCTGGCATCCAATGGTGTACAAGTCTGACTTTAATCAATCTATAAATTGAATAAAATTCAACAATCTCCACAATCCCCATACTGACAAATCGATTCGCTGTCTATAACAAAACTTTGAGGATGCTAGAACATATATAGTGATGAATGAGAAAAATTTGAATAGTATCCCTGTTTACCTTTATTATCCTATTTTTTTTTAAAGTTTTTACTATTCAACATGTAAGTGTTGGATAAAATTACCTTAATATTAGTGTGATTACCTATAAAAAGTCAAGCTTCAATTTGTGTTTTCTCACTTCAGTATTTTCTGTAGTAAACAAGATCAAAAATGTTCATTTTACTGTATGAATTCCATAATTTCAGTATTTAGTGTTGGGGATGCAACATAGATCAAATTAATCAATGAGTCTTTAACGGTAACTATTAAGAAGTCCAGTTCAATTACTGTATAATGTGTAAAATGATACAGCATTACTTTCTAGTCCTTAGTAACTTGAAGTAAAATTTACTATATAGTTTATGAAGTAATATGGTAATTGGTGTATTTTTTATTGAGATATAATATCTTTTGGTCGAAGTTTCCCAATTCATTTAATTTGTCATGTGTTAATGCTACGGCTTCTTATGACGATATTTAAGTCAATTGTATGAATAGATTAATTATTGTGTTGGTTACGTACAGAAATCTAGTTCCTAGTTATATTGTTACCGTAACTCTATTTTCATTCTCATTCTATTTATAGTTCGATCAACATCAATTTGGTTAGGCAAATTAGCAGGTTATTTGGTTAGCCTATCGATAAAACGTTGTCCGCCGACACATCGATCTATCCAACAGTTGGATCAAGAATTAATGAATGAAGTCAATCAGTCACGAAGTCGTCACCAAAGTCGTGGTTCATCTATTTCGAATACTTCCAGTATACCAAGTGATTTAAACAGTCTAATTGAAAATGAATTTAACACCACCAAGTGTTGTGCTGAATGTGTCTGTCCAGAATTGTCCGAGTGTACGAGTACCGCTGTACCGAAATCGGATAATGATGGTAGGTGAAGATTAGATAAAACCCATTGTTTTTTCTCTATATATACCAGTTTATTTTTTCAAGCACCTTATATTACTTTATAAGAACTAATTTTTAGTAGTTCTGAAATTCATTCCTTTCAATAATTTTGACTAGTCACAAGTTCGTTTATATATCTAGCTTGTCATTAATTCTAAAAAAACAAGTTCCCACTTTATTGTGTGCAGAACTCATTATACTAGATTTAATATATATATATTGTCCCATTGCTAATCTTTTCAGGTATACATATCCCAATATGTTGGGATACTTACGCTGAAGTTTGTAGACAGTTAACGCTTATTTTGAAAAGTCGTTGCTGAGTCATAACATATAGTAAGAGTTCTGAATTGTTTCTAGGTGCGGTTTGCTGATTTCACTGTGTGAAGAGAAACTGCAAGTCTGGGATATAAATAACTTTCAGCGAAGAAACATCACTTTGCGAACATCTGAAATCGGATGTAAATAATGAGCCATGTGAAGTAGTACGCAGCTGTCCTACCAGAAGTAGTTATAAGGATATGGTTTAAACTGGTGACCATATGCCTGGTAAGTTCATTATTTGTCCACATCCTGATTTATTATCAGTACACTCAGCCATAATTGGTAATCCTCCAGGTTTCTAAAAGTAATAAACTTATGGTTTAACTTTTATACATCAGTTTATTTCAAAAACAACTTAAACCCATAACATGATTTATTCTATCGACTTTACTGAGAGGTGGTATCAGCAAGGAGTTTCTAACGGCTAACAAGAAGCATCCACCTTCCATCAGATAATATGAGATATCAGAAAATATCGGTCTTAAAAGATCAATATCCTTTCTTGTTCTTTGGATTCTCGGCTCCGAATTAAAATGGTCGTTCTCCATCAACTTCAATGGTTTGGCTTCTTTAGTTACACTCTGATCGGCAAAGCTGTCACTTCTGACCCACCCTCTTTATTAGCTCCCTTAAGAAGAAATTGCATTGTGCAGTGAAAACTAGTGAGAACTTCCAAACATCTAAACACCTCTAATAGAGCACCTCATGGTTTTAAGTATTGGGAGTATAATTTCTTTACTCAATTAATTTATTAATACACAGTTAAAATCTTATACATCTAGAAGATTTTTTCTTTTCGATAACCCGAGATAATAGAATTCTATATTTTTACGGACAAAAAGAATAATCTTTATGCTTCGACATTTTATCAGTTATTTATATATGTATATAGGTGTGTTAATGTATTCGTATCTTTTTTCGTCGAGATTTGTTTTCTATTGTTTCATATGTTTTTTCATCAAAATATTAGATGAAGTAACCCGTACAGTAACCGGCAGTTCTGCTTCAAATTTAGCGCGAGCCATTGTTGGATCGTCTTTACTTCGTCAACCATTCACTGATCAAGTCTATCAAAGTGAAATTCTCTGCATTAGTCATAATGATGGTACAGGCCAGGATTTCCCATTACATATGTTAGAAGCTCGGTCAAGTTTTGGCATTGGACAATTGAGTTGTAATTCAAGGCATTACATTGCAATTATTGGCGGTTATAATCGTAAAGGTTGTTTAGATAGTATGGAATTATTCGTTGAAAACAATAGTAATCAACAGTGTGAATCATGTAGCGATGAAGATTCACCTGTATCTCCTCCTATTATTGGTCCACGACTGACAAAACAAAGAGGTCGGTTAGCTGTAGTATCCAGTTATTTACAATCATTTTCTGATTTCCCTGATATAATTTATGCTTGTGGTGGTTCGACAGGCTCCAAGGATTTAGCATCTGTAGATAAGTGAGTTAGTTATTCTATGTTGAATATATGCATTCTTTGAAAATGTTGTACTCTAAATGGAAATCATAATAGATGCAAGGATTTATATTGGCAGTAAACGTTGGTTGATGCTCAATGTTTACGTGCTTAGTCTGTTAAGCATTACTTTATAAATCTACGCACAACATTTTTGTGTATACGTATTTTCAGCAGATATTTTCCGGTTTGAATTATAGGGTTACAATGATTGACAAGAGACTTAAGGCCTTTCTGTTTCGAACGTTAAGAAAGTTTCCTTTTGTGTAGTTCCTATCTCGAATTCCGAAAACCTACTACTAAGATTGAGAAAACCATAACTTACTGCTATAACTGTGACGGCAGATTAGAGGGTAGCGAATTATTAATCGGACCAAAGACGCACAAACACGTAGAACGACCTAGGGTTCTGATTGGCCCCGCTTCCCTGTCTAGCCCAGTCAATTGAGTTCAGAACACAAGTCACAGCCTCTGAGTTATGAATCATTATATTTCAAACATACTTTGTTTATATACCAGTAAAGCAGACCACATCGTGCGATAAAATAGAAAATAACATTGTACGATATTAACCAGTAGGAAAATGACACGTGAAATAAGTACTGACCAATAAGTAAATAATACCATCTCCAAGTCCAAGAATAGCATTAGACTTAATAGAATAATTTCTGGGATATTTTCCTGAATATCCCAACACTTACCCAACTCGCTTGCACACTTTTGACCCTGTTATACTTCTTCCTCCGAACAACAGTTTTATCAATTGCCAAGATTCCCCCAATGCGCTATCGTACCGCAAAATTGTTGGATGAAAAATCGATAAGAAGAGGTTCATTCTTAAGATATTCTAAAATCGCACCGAGATAAATCACTCTAATTGTTGTCCAGTGGATTTTAGAAGGAACAGTGGCTCAAGCAGCTGCCCTAAGTGATATAACAAAAGTCACAGCAATACAATAGTATCAGTACTGTCGGGATATTCATTCTGTAATGCTAAAGAATCTAAACCTGTCTTTCGGAGGCGTCGGCAACCGATAAATTTGTTGTTCGGAGGAGGAAGTATAACAGGGTCAAAAGTGTGCAAGCGAGTTGGGTAAGTTATGGTTTTCTCAATCTTAGTAGTAGGTTTTCGGAATTGGAGATAGGAACTACACAAAAGGACACTTTCCTAACGTTTGCAACAGAAAGGCCTCAAGTCTCTTGTCTGTCATTAAACAGTATGTACAACCAGGAACAACAATCTACACAAACAATTGGAGAACGTTTCAGTGTCTTCACAGATACGGATATATTCATCATGTGGTGATATACAAGCATAATTTTGTAGACCTAACAATTAGTGTTCACACTAACAACGTAGAAGCTATGTGAAAACAAGTGTAAAACTTTCTTCAACCTTATAAGGGATCTACAGGTCAAATGATATGAAGGAGTATATATATATATATATATATATATATATATATATATATATATCCGAGCACATTGTGACAAGTCTTGAGAATCCAGAGATTCTAACTAAGTTCATCAAACATATGGAAGCCGTGTAAATTCTTTGATTATTCCACATTGATTTATTCAGATGTATCAACTGTATTCTCGTTGGCTTTAAATTAAAGTTTCTCAAGGGCGTCAATTTACTACACTTTTGCCACAAATATCAGAAACACTGCACACATCATGAGGTTCATTTCTCTCAAAATCTATAAATTATATTTCGAACCGGTGTGCATCTCTCTTGGTAGATATTAAACTGTGAAATCTTCACAATAAAACAAACTCACATTTTTTTTTATCGAATCGTAAAACTTATAATGTTTGGATATCATATAGTCGATATACTGTCTAACACTTCATTTTCTAATTTTCTCCAGTGGTTTAACTTGCCCTATAAGAGAGAGAAGAACATACTTTTCAGTTGTTAGTATTCGATCACACTTATGAAATTATGCTTAATAAACTATCAGGGAAGATATAGAAATTTAAGATCAAGCTAAACAATTTTTCTTAAATTCAACTTGTGATTTGTTAGATAGAACCTTAACCTGTTGTAATGATATGATTTTTTTCTCTTCTCTCGTAACAATAGGATATGTTTAATTACTTTGATCCTACTCAAACATAAATCCTATTGTCTATATTTAATGGTAGACTGCCTAATACACTGGTTTATTTAAATTTAGTCCCAACTTTTGCAGATAAACAAGTCATTGAATATTTCCAATTTGTTTGAATATATATATATATATTTCTTCTGTTCTTTTCTTCTTAGTGACATTTATCTTTGAATTAGTAATTGTCTTGTTTGTTTGTTTGTTTGTTTGAAAGTAACATCAATGAGATATGCTCTAAAAGTTTATTCATTACTTAGTGAATCAGTTTATTCCTTTGTTTTTTCTCTTCCTTTTTTTCTTAACTCTAACATTCCTTTCCTTAATAAAATGATTTGAATTCAAAGCCATTTGACCTTTTAAAAAAATCTGTATAATTTGTTGTCAATAAAGCAACACTTTCAACACAGATCAGTAAAATAACTATCTAATTTATAATTCTAATATAATTTTTCTATGGTTTTACAAGTTTACGCAATTGTATCAATTCAATTTGTCTCATATATTTGTTTTTTGAAAATATATTTTCGCGGGTAAATGAGATCACTATCCTAAATAGTTCACCTAACAGGATTTTTACAACGAATCCCTTATGTTATATGAAATAAACTGTCGTTTATGTGCTAAAACTATTACTCTTATTATCTAGGTTCTAATGGAAGCGCCAAACGCCTCTGTAAGAAATTGTTGTATTTGAAATAAGATAGTCAAATAATTTTCTTTTCTTTTCTAATCTAACAAAGATACATATACTTATAGAGTTGTATGTTTTGTAAAGAGGCTTGACATATTGAATTTCTACTTAAGGTAACAGACAGATAGATTTTATTAGTGTAAAGGGGCTTTGATGGTTGTTGAGTTTTATGGTTAAAATCAGGAACTGACCTTAGTTAAAAAACGAGTGGGCGCTGAACAACTAATTTATCCTAAGGTAGGACTTTTCAGTGATAAGCTGTGTACCTGGGTGTGTAAACTGTGTTGTGTTTCTCACGATAATGGTCACAAATAGCTGTAGATGTTAGTTCACAAAGCTCAGCATCATTCTCGATTGCATAGGTTCACTCACTCACTACCTTTTCATAGATCCTTAGTTTCTTAATTATTTTAGATCTTTTTTATATCATGAATCCGTACTGTCTTCTCGAATCATATTTTCGGAATCTAATTTTTTTTCTACTACCACTAATGTTACCTATTGTAATATTCTGACATCTCTCTGTGCCAATGGTCTGTAGCAACTTGATCCAATGTACATATATACCATATTCTGAGTTTTATATGACTAACTGACCTTACTGTGGATCGAACCCAAAACCTTCAGGTCTGTTGATGGTCGTATAACTTTTAGAACACTTAGTCAGCATCCACTGGTTTACGTTGTTTAACCTCAGTCAGTTTGCGACTTTGTGCAACCATCTTCCAGTGGCTCTACTGGATAATTGCCTTAGTTTTTTTACTACAATTTACTGGTTAATTTTCAGATATCCATGTTTTCTTTGTGAAATTCATATCAACTTTAACCTCGAAGTAATTTATTCAGCAATTTGTCTTTATGCTCTACGTTCATCATGTCGTATTGTTTAAGTCATATAGCTTATCCTTTTTTCGATTCGTACCGTTTTTATATACGTTTGTAGACTAACATGTGAGGCACTGGGATCCTGGCTTATCAATCATGAAGTGGTAACCAAAAGCCATCATGATAACTTTGACGATCACGTTTATACAAACGGCTCTCGGAAAAGTTCTGATTTCCGTACACGAACAGATTCAATAGCACATAGTCATGCGTCTTCAAATGGATGTGGTCTATCAAATGTTACATTTTGGCAGACGATAAAGAGTTTACATGAAGCTCGAACTAATCCAGTTGGTGTAGATCTTAGTGGACTTCAACAAGGACCACTTATCACAAATACAAAGGGATCAGTCCTTGTTGCTGGTGGAGTATCAGACGCACAGTTTCTATCTTCTGTTGAAGCCTACATTCCAGATAGAGATGAATGGATTTATATGCCATCCATGTTACAAGGTACGATAATGCCTTAGCATGTATTATTAGATTTCCATTGCAGAAATATTACAGTCATTGTGAAATATAATTATTACTTTGTATGCACTGATTTCATCATATTTATTTTATTTTTAAGTGGTAGTTTTCAATAGCTCTAACTGTTTGGGAATTCCAAAATATTTGTACAAAACAATAAGGGCTCAGAAGACTCTTGGAAACATTTTATCCAACCAGGATTGAATAGAGGTATCTTCGAAACACCTAGAAGGATGACAGATCACGTGTCAGGTTTTTGGTCGGATAGGAACTTTCTTGGTGCTATATCTAGCATGATTTAGAACTTTCTAAACGATCAAGATTACATTAAATAGTATAAAGACGTACGATTTTCCATACATTCCTTAACTTTAAACTCAAGCTTTTTTTCACTTGTGTTCAAGTAGTCCCATAGATGATTTAGTTTGCGATTATTAGTGGCGGATAAGAAATGGGATCGAGTGTTTAATTATCAAAATTATCATCAACCTCAAATGTCATATCTTTTACTCATTTGGATCATTTAAAAAAAAAATCATTTCGTATCAGAGGACTATCAAAAAAATTTAACGTATTCCCGTTATTGATAAATGAATTATTTGTGATCATACCATAGACGACTGTTATAGTCAGTATGAAATCAGTGTTTACATAATTAATCCAATAAAAACCGACTATTGTTATGTGTCGAATGCTTTCACAAACTGTAATTAACTTATCCCATAAACGAAGTCTAATCGAACCGTGTATATTTCTTTCTGTGACAAAACTGTAGATTTGAAATAGAAATTCCATTGATGCAATGAACCAAAAAAAAAGAAACTTTCAAGTTTATTGTCATTGACAAAACATAAAATCTTCTTCTATATATTATGATGTGATTTGATCTCAAATAAGTTTGTTTATGAGATAACTTTTTCCAACTAGGAATTACTTTCTTACATTCTGTGAATAAATATTATTGTAGCTAACAAACACTCATTATTTAAAAATGAATTCCCCATAGAATGGATATAGTTACATTCTAATTGAATTATTGATAATCTGTTTTTTTTCTCTGTATAATTAAAATAGGTCGTTGTGAAGCATGTGCTAATGTTTTGACATCACGAAATCTAATTGTTGTTATCGGTGGAGTTGTCAATACAAACACTATATATAATACTAGTCAAAATGTAACTGTTGAAGCATTAGATCCTCGTTGTGATACTTGGTTTTATATTCCTAATACATTAGGCAATTCATTCGGACAACTTCGTGGTGCCAGTTTAACATATTGTCCGAATTCTAAAGGTCAGTATATTCTATTTTAAATCTTATTTATTTATTATTTATTTGAGAACCAGATACATATGCACCACATCGAGGTAGATAAGTGATGTTGTATATAAATAAATAGTAATACTAATAAAGGTGAATTTGAAATGTCTGAATTCTGATCGGAGCGAGCATAGTATTTTGTGAAATAATTATAATCTCATCGAATTCGCGTGAGGGCTGTGATACTGCCCGGGTGCCCAAACCGAAGCAGGTGGTTTTCTTAGAGGGCCACACCCCGAGCCTTTGACCGAGAGGTCTGACCCACATGGCAATCAAACAACGTAAGGAGATGTATTCCCACGGTAGCCGATGACCAATAATTGGTTCATACGTCATATATCCCCTCAGGATACTGAAGCCCATGTGCATCATTGGTTTGGAATCAGAGTTCCCCAACTCCCCTAGGTTGATCCTCTGTGTCCACGAACCTGGTTAAAGCGCCGTACATTCGCTTTTCGTCCTCGGAATTTCGTAAACAGCAGTAATGCCGCGAGAAGGCAGTGAGTAGGACTTTCCTGGCAGAGGCTATATACGTGTGACCATGTGAGAGCATTTCGAGAGAGACAGCGGACTCTCCCCACTCTCGGCTACACCGGGGCATTTGGGGGAATTTTAAATCTATACAAATTTAAATAAACAAATAGTTCATATTTATTCGAATACAATTAGAAACATTTCAATGTTTCATTAGTGAATTATTATGATTTAACAATAAACAAACTAATTTATTAGTATACAAAATCAGTTCTTTTTCTTAACAAAGAATTTTTTTCTACACAAAATTACTTAATTAAAACATACTTATGTAATGAACTAACTTCAATTAGAAATTCTTTAAAGTTTTCAATAAAACTTTGAAATCGGTTTAATTTCATATTAACTGATTAATTTTCTCTAATAAATCACCATTCTTTCACTTTTGATCATTTTTTTAAAAATTTTTATTTGGAGAGTAGAATGATTTTTTGTTTGTTTTGTTCCTGGTTACAATTTTAAACTTGTCTGTCTAATTATTAGAAAAGTTGTTTTACATTGATTGCTCTCTCTCTCTCTCTCGACCTATTTTACTGTTGTGTAGTTGACAAAAAATGGTACTAACTGTTACATAACTAAAAGTTTCAAATGCATAAATCTGTACTGAATAAATAAATTCGGTTAACTTATGGATTTAATAGGGTTATATCTTCTAAGTTACATGGTTAAATGATAGAGCTTTCATTATCTTTCTTAGCAACAACATCGTCAGCGCCTACTATTCATCCATTTAAACTTCAGATCTGCTTCTTCTTCGCTAACTTATCTATTTAAATAATCAGTTTACTATTATATCCAATTGTATACTATACCATTCGTTTGTTACCTTTTAGCTATTTTATAAATTTTAGTTACTTTAGTATTTTTTTTCCCTTTTATGAAATTTATTCATCTTTTCGCAAATCTTATAGTGAAACATTCATCATTTTGTTTATTTCTCTCTGGGGGAGAATTTTGTTCATCCCAGTTCATTAAAGTTCACCAGTGATCAATTAAGTTGATCATATATACATATATAATAAGTAGTGCTTATCGGTTTTTACAAAATAATTTATGTTTAAATCAATCGGACTGTATAAATTATAATTACACAATCTATTCAATTTAATAATCACTCATTTTCTCCTTTTTCATCTATTTAAGACAAATACGTCGTCATTTTGTTTAATTTTAAATTGGTTGATTAAAACACTGACACTGTCTACAGTATTACTTACTTACTAACGTGTGTTACTCCTTGTGGAAGAGTGCAGGCTGCCCACTAACATTCTCCATCGAACTCTCTCTTGAACAATCCCTTCAAGTTGCTATTCATCCTTTTCATATCTGCTTCTATTTCCCGACAAAAAGTGTTCTTTGGCCTTCCTCTTTTCCACTTCCCTTCACCATTCCAAGTTAGCGCTTAACTCATGATGCAGTTTTGTGATTTCCTCAATGTATGTTCTATCCACCTCCAATGTCTTTTCCTAATTTCATTTTCAGCTGAAAGCTGGTTTGTTCTCTCCCACAATAGGCTGTTGCTGATGGTATCCGGTGAACGGATATTGAGTATGTTGCGTAGACAACTGTTTATAAATACTTGTACCTTCTTAATGATGGTTGTAGTAGTTCTCCAGGTTTCAACTCCGTGTAATAGGACTGTCTTGACATTCATATTGAAGATTGTGACTTTGATATCGGTTAACAGTTGTTTTGAGTTCTATATGTTCTTCAACTGTAGGAATGCTGTCCTTTCTCTTTGCCAGTCCTCACCTTTACGTCTGTACCAGATCCTTCTTGTTTATTGATAATACTTCCCAGGTACATGAAAGATTTAACATCTTCCAGAGCTTCTCCATCAAGTAAGATTGGGTGAGTGTTCTCCCAGTTGTATTTGAGGATCTTGCTTTTCCCCTTGTGTACGTTAAGGCCTACTGCTGCTACACTGTTTGTCTTGACCTGACCTGCATTTGCTAGTGTGCGTGCGATAGAAAAGCTAGGTCATCTGCAAAGTCTAAATCGTCTAGTTGATTCCGAGCTGTACATTATATTCCGTACCTGCCTTCCGATGTCGAGGTCTTCATCAATCACTCAAGCACCAGAAGAAAGAGAGGGGGAGAGACTAAGCAACTTTGTCTGACTCCGGTGACCACAGTATAGATATTTATTAATTTTTTCCGTCCTGAGCTTAGACAAAAAAAGATGATCTCTTATGTTTTAACTAAACAACTGTAACCTAAGATTGTGATGATTTAAAAACAGCATCATTGATTTTTTCACATTAGCATTAGTTTAAGTTCTTTCAACTGGATTCTACTTTTGTCAAATTTGTAGATTGTCTTGTGAAATTGATAAGTTTTGTTTTTTATAATATAAATAGTATTCTTTCGACTGTTACTATTACTAATATTGCTATTACTATCGTGAAGAATCTGTCAGTGGAACATGATATGTACCCAAACGCTTTCCTTACATATTTGAAGTTATCATTTGAGTAATATATATAGATATCATTCTGAATCTATGTAAAACAATTGAAATATGTATTCATTCCTCCTTCCTTTCACAAGATAATAGTTATCTAAACTAAATTGCATTGAATGACCTAATAAAAAACAATTCTCTATTAAATCTCTAATATAATAATTGCATAATGTATGTACGTTAATTTAATTTCTTAAAAACTATCCTTCATTGTTCATAATGAAAAAAAACTTTTGATTATTTTAATTCATGAAGCACATGCCAACATTCTTAATCATAACAACAATTATTATTATTATAGGTCGAATAATAATAATGATAATAAAATACTTCAATGTGATATTAGCTTTATATACTAAAAACCAATTAAGAATTTAGAGTGCTCCATTATTAACTTTCTGAAATCATCTAATTTCATAAAGTAAATTAAAAGTATGAAGTTATAGATGTTATAAAGTTTTTACAGATTTTACATCATCAACTGAGTGACCTTTTCATCCCTATACTGGACTCCTCAGCTGACACCCATCCATGATCATGCACGATAGAATCGAACCAAATAACTTCAGTCTTCCATGCGAACGCTTAACCTCTAGACCAGTGAGCCAGAACGCAACGGTGTTAATGTCTAACTTTAATCAATCCGTGACACCAGTTGACTATTTTCCATCGTCCTCGGTAGGTAATCGCCTCACATTCAACATAGTTTAGCTTCATTGGTCTTTACTTTGTAGGTGCGCACTGCTGAAAAGTCCCATACTAGGATTGAACGTTTATTTAATGCTTCCATATTTTCATTGGGGGGTCTAACCTAGATTGGTTCATGATATCAACATCATTAAATTAAATTTAACCAAGTCTTTTAGCTATACTTTTTGTTTTTTTGTGCTGTAGAAGGTATGAAGAGTAGTGATATTGACATTCCGTCGGCAAGTCAAATACCGTTTGACCCTCACCATTATACTCATCATTTATGACAATTAGGAGTAGATAACATTTTCGATAATCGATGTGACTCTGTTTTTGGAACCAAGCTCAATTATACAATATTAATTAAAGACATGATACAGTTACACTTAGAATCTCAAATTATATTAACATCCACTCAAGATCATATCAACTAACATGTTTTACAATCAATGTTACGTTTGACAAGTGTGTAATGTTTATTTCAACTTGTTTTAAATAATCGGGTTTTTTTTATGAAGTGAGGTTTTGGTGTTAGAATTTCGTCATATTGTTAACTTTTTCTCCATATTGACAAACTTTTTTTTCTTAAGAATTAGAATTACTTTGTTTTGAAGCAGTGATTCATGTTACATCTGTCTATTTTTGCAGTTCTGTTTAGTCGGTTGGCATAAGTTCGTATTCCTCAGGGGACTATCAATGCCCACAAAATTTGGTTTGTTAATAAATGTCAACTAGCTTTAAACCCCGTAGGTTAAGGAGAGATTTATATTAATCTTTCGAAGATTTATATCACACAATTATTCTTTTCATTTCGGTGTTTTTATTTTACAATTTATAGATAATTTGCTATTAGTTGGTGGATATAATGGTCATGAAACGTTAGATACTACATGGATATTTGATTCAGTTGCTTGGAAATGGCGTTCAGGACCAAATTTAATATTTGCTCGTTCTAGCTGTTGTACAACATTGACATCAGATCAACGTTATAATTTAGTATTTGGTGGTTATAATCCATTGAAATTTAACACTGGATTTTCAGATACAATTGAAATGATCTTCTAAACAAAATAATTATTTTTCTTACTTTTTTTGTTATTCTGTTAGTCTTTTTATATTATTACTTCATTTGTTTGTTTTTGTTTTTCTAATCCTTAATCACACTGAATGGCGTTACCGGTTCTGTTTGGTCTCATTATATTATACTGTTGTTTATACCTCTCATTTGTGTATGTCTAGCTATCAAAATGTCTATGTCAGTAGTGTTCACATGGTATGTCACTATTTTATGTTTTGAAGGTAATTTCACATGACTTACACACATACACACTGTCTATGTATGTATGATACATATTTGTGTGGTAAAAAAAGTTTTATGTGCGTGCACACTTTCTTTTGTGTACTAGAGTTTTTATCTTTTCTTCAATCTTACCAGTAGTAGACTATTTCATCATTCATCTGCACGTATATTCATCAATAACAGTAAATAAAATATTGTAGACTGTAATTTGATTTGCTACTCACACATAACCGGGTATCGTATATATATTCAAGCTGCCATACCGTTTCTATGTAGCAATGTCAATCTAGTAAAACCAATTTTATAGTAGTCGAAGTAGTAGTGTAGCGTATGCTACTTATGTCGATAGACGTAAGTAGTATGTAACATAAATCGGAAGTGGAAAGACTAGCAGCAGAAGGCAAGGAGATTGAGTTGAAGCGAACTGAATGAATAATAGAAAGGAATTGTACACTGGAAGAATCATACAGAAGTGTGAAGAAAAATGATGAAAATTTGCAAGTGAAGTATGCATATTTTACCAGGATATTCTGTAGCTTTGTATGAAACAATTAATTGGTTTCCCCTACTTGAGTTCTCGTTCAAAGTGGTAACGATATTCATAATAAATATGAAAAGAAATGGATAGTAGAACTACAGAACAAAGGATGAGTTTGTGGATTGAAATGTATGAAGCAATTCTTTAATTTTGAATTGAAGCGTAGACAACTAGCAGATAAATTAGCATCACCACGAACATTTATAAGCTGAATCACTCAGTCTCTTAAAAAGTCGATCACAAAAGTCGGATATTCTGCACAGTTCGGCAATAAATAATCGCATAAGCTAATTCTACGTCTTCGTTTTCCTGCTCCTAGCTTCTGTCTAACCTCTTCCTACAACAGAAAACATGACTCGTTGAGGTAGGCAGTGCTCTGGCATACATAACACATGTCCTAACCACCTCATTAGTCGACACACCATCTTCACCTAATACCACTCATCTGACTTCACTTCAACATTGCACACTCAATGGCCCTACATACAACAGCACTGCTATGAAGACAACCATAATCAAACACTAGTAACCCGTGAAAATCCTATAAGCTCACGGGAAACATTTCACGGTCATAAAAGCAGAACAAACCGAAATGCCATGTAGTACATCATTCCTTGTCTGGCAGATGGACATCTATCTCACGTCATATATGAAGTGGATTTGAAAAAGCCAAGAGAGCTGTTTGAATCGGTGTCAATATTTCGTAAAATACCAGTCGGTACCACTGATGAAACTTCGGAGAGATGTGAGGTGATCGAATCATCCAAACTACTTCATCATATATTGTTAGGTTAGGAGTTCACTCAGATCAGTCATGAAGCAACATTCTGTGCATAGTCAGCGTTCGCGTGAAACAGGACCATTATGAGAGTCTTTAATTTCTTAGTTGGACAGATTATTCACGAAGCTTTATGGGTCAAGAGAATAATCTGCTAGACAGTTGTGGAGAAATCTTAATAAACCACTACTTATAGGAGTGTGCGCTCATGTTATACTTAACGACTCAGTCATTTCTGTCCTTCGTTTTCTAGCATTTGATTTATCATGTATCACTTACTTAATTTTCTGAGGTTGAATGGTTATTATTCATTCTTACATCTGAGGTTGGTTGGTCTACATATTGGTAGTCTATAAGCTTATATTTTCTTTTGTATCTATAGTTATATGGAAAATATATGTGTCTATAGAAGGATAGAAAATTGATTCTATACTCATTATTAGATGCGGTTACACAGTTATCAAGGGATTAGAGAAGAATATGAAGATGAAAATAATTTCTGGGTCAGATAATTATCCAATTGACTGATATAAAGAACAAAAACATAAAAGTCATAATAACAATAACTGGTTACAATTTAAAATTACAAAACACTAATTTAAAGAAATTAATAATGATGAATGAAAAGAAAACACTATAAAAGGAAATTAGGGCCAAGGAAGGATAAGAGGTTGGACGAATCGTTTTTGCACTCAAAGTTCGGGTTTGATTTGGTGGATTGCCTATGCCTCAGCAGTGTATAAAATATTGATTCGACTTCCCTTCGATCCAGTTCCTTTGACTGTAGATTATTTTAAAAGAAGACTACTTTGGAGAGATGTATCCATAGTTGATTAAATGTCCCTGTATAGAACTAGTAATTGTTTTACATTCTCCTTTTAAAATCCACGCGGGTTAGTATTCTGAGATGAGTTTGGGAAGTGATCGCTTCGTGCGGCCAATGTAACCTGCTCCACATGAGCAAATTTATAGATGTACATTGATGTGGCCCTTAGCGGAAGTTTGTCCTTAACACATCCATGAATGGTAGGCCGGCTTGAGTAAACAATTCGGAGCTTAGCGGATTTGAACGTTTTACTCAACGGTTTCAAAAGCCGTCTAAGTTTTTAGCGGCCGTACCTCCTTTAGATTCCATGTTCATAAAAAGTTTTCTTTTGTACTGTCGGTGCTTTTTCAGGATTAAGTCTAGGTGTTAAGTTGTTTTCGATGAATCTAGGTGGGTAACCATTCTTTATGAGTGTGTTGAAGTAGTTCCTCATCTATTGTGTCAGTAAAACATATTCACCTAATCCTTGAGGATAAAAAGTGAATTAAATTCCTCTTTCTACTCAGTGCGACCCAACTATTGAAATTTTTGTATTCCAAGTCGGTTTATTATATATAAATCGCTGTAAAAAAACATCCGACCTTCTATTGAATCGAACATCAAGAAAACGTAATTCATTGTTTGCCTCCACTTTCAAAGTCAATTGAATTGAGGGGTGATAAATATTGGAACTATTCAAAACTCCATATCTTCACAAATAATGCAAGTATCATCCGCATACCTCTTATATAAATGAAATCTCTCAATTATTGCTCCAAGTACCCTATATTCCAGATTGGCCACAAATCAATCAGCCAAGAGAGGACCAAATCAAGAGACCCATTGCAACTCCATCTGTTTGCTTGTAGAAATCATAATTAAATCTAAATTGCACATTGAGGATACATCATAGAAGTAGCTCTTTTAGATAATATTTTGGGATACAAATATCAAGGTTATTGTTTTCAATATAGTCACATAAAAAACATAGTTTCTGTGTGAGGAACATTTGTAAAAAGAGAAGTGACATCCAATGAGATCATTTTCTTCATATCTGTCAAATGGACAATTATATGACCCGTAAATTATTTTCATCCTTACATTCCTTCCTTATCCCTTGATTTGATAATAAGAGTCTCGAATATATTTATGATGCAACCTTTTCTATCCTTCTATAGAACTATGTAATGATGTTTGTCCTCTACTCTTATTGGGACACTTGATTCTGCAGCAATTTTGGTACATGTACCACACACTAATTTTGAGATCACAGGCCATAAGATTGATCTTAACTCGGCTTTTGTGGTGTTGTATAAAAGTGTAAAAGGGCATCTGCTAAGATTTATTGAAGCCTTAGCCATACGAAAATTCAAACCCCATCTACGTATTTATCAAAAATAGTTTGTTCTCATCTTAAATCTACACTGGTAATATAAGCTTGTTATCCAGAGTGAGGAGATTTCAAATTGTTTTCATATTTTTTTGACTGAGATCATGAACCGATTGATGTTAGACCACCGTTGAAAACCTGGTGGTCTAACATCAATCGGTTCATGATCACAATCAAAAACTTAACAATCTCCACAACCCCTAAACTGATATTTATCACAATGTGTCATATTTTCAATCAATGTAATCACTTTCCATTATCAATAAACATGAGGTTACTAAAATCACTAATGGACGAAATAAAACTCACCATTTCACTGATAATTAGATGAGCTGATTATTTCAAGATAATACATTTTGAAAACATTCATTGTAAGAACAACTTATCAGTCAATTCATTTCTAATACTACCTGTTTTATATGTTTAAAACAATTGGAACATTGAATTGTTTTGAAGACGCTCACATTATACTAGTGTTGTGACTTTAGAGCCCGGTTAGTTATCACATAATTTATTGGTCAATCGAAATACGACTTATCTAACCTTAGTACTGCGCTAAATCAATGATGTTCGACCAGTATGAGCAGCCTAGCGTCCTTATTGGTCATTTACTCGCCTATCCCGTCCAGTTGAGCCCAGAACACCAATAACAGTTCCCACTATGCGACAAACAGATCGCATCGTACCATAAAATAGAATATAACATTCATACAAGAACAAGCCAAAAACTGGCTGTGAATGTGAGAGATCATAATCAACAAACTGAACATAACTTAAGAACAGTAAGTCGTATATTAGTAATCTATAGGTCAAAACGAAGCTTATAATAAGATGAATATAGATATACACATTCTAGTTACTGAATAGTTATACAATAACAATATGAAATATTAGTCCATGAATAGATCTCAGTGGTTATCTGTAATTTAATATTCACAAGTATATAACAGATAGAATTCGACATGTTCACGTTATTCTAATTTATTTCGCCGACAAAATTTTTCACAATTATACATCATTGTATCAAATTTATTACTTCGGAAATAATTTAAGTTCGTTTATCCAATGAACAAATTAGAATGTAGTTCCACTATAGTAAGTGCTACTGATGTCGGCAGATATAAGTAGTATATATCACCAGTCGAAAATGGTATGCCTGGCTGTAGATGGCTGAGAAAATCGAAGAGAAAAATAATCGAGAACCGAGAGTGATTAGTGTTAAAACGAAGGAACAACAAAATTTGAGACAATTGGTCGATATTTTGCAAAATGGTGTATTTACTGTACGATTCTCAGACTTTATCAAGATATTCTACACTGTGTTAAAATACATTTGATTGTTCCACATGGTGTTCTCGTTCATGACATCATTATTATTATCTTGTCACTGGTAAAATTTAGGGACAAACTAATTTTGCTGTAAATATTTGAAATGTGTCCATTAACTCACGATCCGATTATTTCAGTCATTGAGTGTCAGTCTTTCTGTTCAATTACAAACTATTATTGTTCTGATGATAAGGATCTATTGTAATAAGATAGTTGCAACTATTCAAAGATAATCTCTCTGCGCAAATAATTATTATGTATTAAGGCTTTGTATTCTAAATTCCCTAAATTTAGGCAACTTCAACTAGAATGCTCGTGGATTTTAAGGTGTGTGTTTAAAAAAAATGTATTTTTATCGACCCCATT